AAGTACTGAGGATAAGCTCAAAATCCTGGCGGTTGAAGTCTTGACACATCTGCTGGACACATCTGATCTGAAACGAAAAATGACCATCTTCATTAGCAATCAGTAATCCTGATTCACATCATTAACACGTAAAAATCATTTATTTTCGTAGGATGAATCTCAGTACATCAGCCAGCCAGTCAAGTCAATTAGTCAATGAGCTGGCCAGCCAGTCGAGCAGCCTGTGACTGTCCATCAATCAGCTTATAAAACAGTAACACAGTCAGTCGGTAATTTAAAGTAGGCCAGTCAGCCAGTCAATTGGCCTGGAAGTTGGAAAACAACTCAGTCAATAAGTCAGTTAAAATATCAGTCAATCAATCAGTGAGTCAGTCAGTCAGTAAGTCAGTACATCCGTCAGTCAGTCAACAGGTCAGTCATTGATTCTGTCTGTGAGTAAGTGAGGTGGTCAATTAGTCAGTCAGTCAATGAGAGAGTGAGTCAGCCAGTCACTCACTCAGTCAGTCAGTAAGTCAGTAAATCAGATATTCAGTCAACAGGTCAGTCATTAAGTCTGTCTGTGAGTAAGTGAGCTGGTCAATCAGTCAGTGAGTCAATGAAAGAGTGAGTCAGCAAGTCAGTCAGTTAGTCCATCAATCACTCAGCCAGTAAGTCAGTCAGTTAGTCCACCAATCAGTCAGCCAGTAAGTCAGTAAATCAGTTAGTCAGTCAACAGGTCAGTCATTAAGTCTGTCTTTGAGTAAGAAGTGAGCTGACAAATCAGTCGGTCTGTCAATGAGACAGTAAGTCAGCAAGTCAGCTAGTCTGTCAGTTGTTCCATCAATCGAATAGTCACTCATTCAGTGCATGTGTCAGTTATTAAGTCAGCAAATCAGTCAGTCAGTTGGTCAGACCTCTAGACTGTCATTCAATTGGTCAGTTAGTCAGTTGGTCAATCAGTTAATTGAATTGAAAGGACCACTCTGGTAACTGTCAATCAGTCAATAAATCAATCTACTCAATTAGCCTGAATTTCATCCAATTACTTCAAGTCATTATTACTCCCTCAGTAACGTCTGAATCGACCGGCCGTTAATGCCGTCCAGTGACGTCACTACTCCTTGACCTTTGCTTTAATTCATGCAAAAAGTAAAACACGATTTTCAAGTGGCAAACCGAGAAACATTGTTTGGAAATGACTTGTCTGCATGATACAGAACTGCTTTATTTTTTTCGATCGTAATTCATGTTTAATGTTCAAACTATCAACTGCATGCAGTACAACTCTGAACCGATTGTACTAAATTCTATAATCAAACTCGGTTGCAATCACGCAATGAATTAAACACACACACAGAACACTTCAGCTCAAAACACAATGATTTGCTTTAATTAAAAAGAAACTATTTGGTCCTTAACGAAGAAAAAAAACAAGGAGACAAGAAAGAAAAGCTAACAGAATCATAACACTTGACGATAAAAATAGCAAGAAGGTTGAATTATAACATTGATCTCAGAAAACTTCGCGTAAACAAAATCACCAGCCACCGAAACCACAAAGCGGCTCCAAATGAAAAACCTACCGACTCTCCGCAATGATTCTTCATTCGCAGTTCAATTTAGCATTTCAGTTTCGAAGACAAGGGCAATTTTGCTCTTGAAGATAAAGATTGAGCTTATCAAAATGTTTGAACTAAAC